ATTGAGATTATCCAGTCTGAGGAACAGAAAGAAAATAAAAAAAAAAAAAGGATAGAACCTCAAGGACCTCTGAGATACTATCAAGAGTATTACTAGTATTATGTAGAATTGGAGTCCCACAAAAAGTCAGAGAGAAGAGGGCAGAACAGTATTTGAAGACATAATGACCAAAATCTTGCTGAATTTGATGAATCTTGAAAGCAGCAACAGAAAAGTACCTCATATCACATACATCTGAGCCTCAATAAGACTGACAACTGATTTCTCTTCAGAAACCATGGATGCCAGGAGGCTATAGATAACACAAAGTGCTAAAACAAACACTGTTCACCAAGAAGCCTATGTCTAGAAAAACCATCCTTCAAAAACAGGAGAAATGAAGACAGTCCCAGATGAAGACTTTGTTGCTATCAGACCTGCCCTACAAAAAAACACGAAAGGAAGTCTTTCAGGCTGCTATGGAAGGAACTTAGTATCTCATACCCACACGAAGAAATGAAGAGCACTGGTAAGGGTAGCTACATAAACATAAAAGCATAAAAGTAGTTTTTGGTTCATAACTACTTTTTTGTCCTATCTGATTTAAAAGACAACTGAACAAAGAAATAATTATAATTGTTTTGATGGGCATATAATGCATAAAGATGTAATTTGTATGACAATAACAGCACAAAAAATGGGGAAGGAACAGAGCTATCTACGGGCTGAGTTTTGTACTCTAGTGAAATTAAGTTTGTATTAATCTGAACTAGACTGTTATAAATTAAGATGTTAATTATAATCCCCAGGGCAACCACTAAGAAAACAATTAAAATATATATATATGAACAGAAATGACAAAGGAATTAAAAGGGAATACTAGAAAATACACATTAACACAATAGAAGTAACAGAAAAACAGAGAAACAAAAAAAATGACAGAACAGCAAAATGGCAGACATAAATCCTGCCTGATCAGTAATTACACCAAATACAAATTAAATACTCCAATTTTACAGTGATGAAAGGTTCGATCTATCAAGAAGCTGTTAACAATTATAAACATAACTAACAACAGACCCTCAAAGTCCATGAAGGAAAAAATGACAGAATTAAAGGAGAAAGAGAAAATTCAACAATAGTTTAGGACTTCAATACCACACTTACAATAACGAATTGAACAAACCGACAAGAACAGGAAAAGAGAGACTTTAATAACACTACAAATCAACCAGACCAAATGGACATCTGTAGAATACTCCACCCATCAATAGCAGCAAACACATTCTTCTTCAGTATACATGGAGCATTTTCCAGGGTAGACCATGTGCTAGGTCATAAAAAAAGTCTCAATTAAATTTAAAGGACTGAATTACACACAGCATGTTCTCTAATCACAATTAATTAAAAATGGATCAAAGGCTATAAAAGTCCTAGAAGAAAACAGGTGTAAATCTTTGTGACCTTGGATAGGCAGTGATTTCTTGGCCATGACACCAAAAGCATAAGCAAACAAAGAAAACAGAGAAACTGGACTTCATAAGATTAAACCCGTCTGTCCTTCAAAGGGCATAGGAAAGTAAAAGGACAATCAACAGAACAAAAGAAAATATTTGCAAATCATATATTTAATAAGGCTCTAGTATACAGAATATATACAGGACGCTTACAACTTACAAAAAACAAACAACCCATTATAAAAATGGACTACTGAAGGGGCGCCTGGGTGGCTCAGTCGTTAAGCATCTGCCTTCGGCTCAGGTCATGATCTCAGGGTCCTGGGATCGAGCCCCGCATCGGGCTCCCTGATTGGCGAGAAGCCTGCTTCTCCCTCTCCCACGCTCTCTGCTTGTGTTCCCTCTCTCGCTGTGTCTCTCTCTGTCAAATAAATAAATAAATCCTTAAAAAAAAAAAAAAGGACTACTGATGCTGAGCATTCATTCACATGTTTATTGGCCATTTAAATAATCTTCTTTGGAGAAATATCTATTCAAATTCTTTGCCCATTTAAAATTGTGGATTACTTGCCTTTTTGTTGAGTTGTAAAAATTCTTTTTATATTCTGAATACTCTCATCAGGTATATGATTTGCAAATATATATCTGCTTTTTACATTATACATAAGAAAAGTATGCTGGTAAGAATGTTCCAAACACAAACCCAAGCCAAAGGCAGATGCTTGCCCCTGAAATTCTATGAATTTTAATGAAACTTACCAATTCCTATCAGATGAGTGAGACTGTGTGCAGAGATGGCACAGTCAGAATAATCATATTCTGTGACTCACGGTACCACTCAGTTGCCTGTGTTGGTTTTAAAACACGGCTGCAAATGTTTGATCTCCTCCCATCACAAAGTGAAGCCCACGCCCCCTCTCCCATTGAATCTGAGTGGACTGCTTCAAACAGAGTGACATAAGGGATGCTATGTGACTTCAAGGCTAGTTCATACAAAGCCATGCAGCTTCTGCCTTATTCACTGGAACACTGAATGCCACGTAAAAACTTTAAATACCCTGAGACTGCCATGCTGGAAAGGCCACCTGTAGGCTCTCCTAGCCGGTGTCTCTGGTTATCTCCATCAGGGAGCTGGACATGTGAATGAAGAAGCCATCTCAGAAGTAGATTCTCCAGTTCCAAATGTTGTAGTCCCTGGCTTTCAGTTCTACCCTGCTGTGGCCCAGATAACACATAACAGGGACAAGTCATCCCTGCTGTGCCCTGGCTGAATTCTTGACTCACAGAATCCATGAGCAGAATCAAATGCTTGTTTTATGTCACTATATTTGGGGTGGTTAGTTTCTCAGCAACTGATAACCAGAACGTAGATTAACAATTTAATTGAAGAAATGTTAGCTGAGTGTCGGTTTTGGGCAAAGGGATGCAAAGACTAGTAAAGACAATATACAACCCGGCATTAGATTCTAACTTGCTCTCAGCTTGCGGCGACTACTTAACATCAACATTTTTAACTGAGAAACTAGAGAAAGGTCAGGCTGTTCCACCCATGTCTGTTCCAATGGGATATAAAAATTATAGTTTATAATTTGCCTTTTTATTTTTCATAGTCAATAATTACTCTTAGCTGTTTATATCAAGCAAGTCACTTACCTTTTCAAATCATTCACCTTTTTCAATTGTTCACTTTTTCTATCATTCACTATACAGGCCTAAGATGTTTTGGAAATGACTGAACGAGTAGCTCAAATATTAACAAGCTTACTTGGAAAATGGAACTTGCAACTGGGCATGACTGCTTAGCCTTTATCAACCTACAAATGAAAGGAGTTTGCTGTCCCAAAGTTTTTATATCACCAACATAAACTGCTTGATCCAAAATACTAATGATACTTCAATTACATATTAAATTCTTGTAGGCATTTTAGTTAAGTGAATGTTCCCAAATATTTGTGCAACATTTATCTCACTGCTCACAAAATAACTGGTAACTGAACCGAGACTTTGTTCAGTTCTCCTGACATCCTATAACTGATGTTCGTAAAAGAGTCACAGAAGAAAACTATCCCCTAAAAAGAAAAGTCCAACTGAGAGAAATAAGGCAAGTCTAAGATATTGCTCAACCTCAGTAAGTAGGCCCCACCCAGAAGACCACATTCACAAGTCCGGCATCGATTTGCACCAGGTCTCTGCTGTCGTGCTCAGATCCTACACCTGCTGGTGACTGAGGACACATGGAAACCTAAGGCCACATGCACTTTCACAAGTCTCTGTACCTACCCTACACGTTTTCTTACCTCTTACTAGACAATACAGCTTAGATTTAAACCTTTTCTATTAATCTTCCTGTTTCTGACAATGTAATAACATCTTGTTCTTTCTCATATATCTTAACGATTTCTAATGAGTACCCTCATTTTATAACACTGATATTTAGGAACAGAAGGACCACATATACTCATGTCTATAGGAAACTTACTACCACACAGCAGTAGGGAACATGATCTGACCTGTGGTCAAGTCAGCGTGGTATATTAGAATGGTAAGTAAGAATATTAGAAGTTTAGGCCTAACTATACCATTAACTAGCTCTAAATCTTTGTGATTCAGTTTCCTGATTTGTAAAGTGAGGGGATAAGATTAGATAATCTCCGTCAATTCTATGATACCCCATATATTGTACTGTGAATTTTTTCACACCAATCCCAGCTTTCTACTGCACAACTGGCTGAACTCTGAAATCTAGAAATCAACACATTTATTTGTCATATTATATGATTCTTCATACATAAAACATGAGATGTATTTTAACCCTTCCTAAGGGTATAAATAATTCTAAAACTCAAGTTTTTCACCAAAGTCTAATTATAAAACTCACTGATCAGCTCAATAAATTACTTGACCTTTTAAAAAGCTTTGTTAGAACAAAAATCTCCATTGAATGCTTTAAGGTTTCTAACCCCTAGTTTTTACTCAGTCTAGTCCTTGAACACAGATTCTTTATAAGATTCTAGCAAATAAAATCATGTACCCTCATTTCCATATTGCAACAAAATTACCATTTGTACTGTCTGCATAATATCCCATGGAGTTGATGTACTACGTAGTTTTAACCCTTCCCTACTGCTAATTAGATCGACTCTGATTTATTGAACTATGCACAATGCTGCAGTGAACACACCTTTATAATTTTTCCTTCTTTTGGATTATTTCCTTAGGATAACAAGCTACATAAAAGGATATTCACATTCACAATTTTTGAAACAAACTGCCAAACTGCCTTGGAAAAAAGTCTATCACTATACCCTGCTGCCCATATGAATGTAACAGCTTCATATTATACCAGCAAAAATACTAATAGGTACTTCTTCACTGAAGTTTTTGTAACTACGTTTTTGAGAAATCATCATGTAAAATACTGTTCCACACAACTTATTGTCTCTCTTGTATTTGATTTGTCCATTTACTTACTGATGCCTTGATACTCTTTATGAAGTTTTTGTCTGACCAACCTTTTTATAAAACCTAGACTTTACTTCTCTTTCCTTCATATTTTTTGCTTACCTGTTTTTAAGATGTGCCTCCAGATCACAGCGTTGCATGACATCTTGGCACACTGAAGAAAATGGACATAACACTAATAATTTGTCCAGAAGCTTATGAACTAGAATACTAGACTTCTTACACAACTTAAAGTGGAGTCTTTTCCGGTCCAATGGACAAAAATCCTTCTCCTGTAAGAAGTTTCTGAGGCACTTGCAGCAGAACGTGTGTCCACAGGGGGTGTCTAGTGGCTGCAACAGAGGCTGAAGGCAAATATGGCAGACCAGGTCGTCATCTACTTCATTCTGGTAATTGTATAAGTGGTTCTCTCTTGTCCAGTGCTGCTGGCCACATTCAAAACACAGAGGATTGAAGGAGGAGGAGGAGGTCTGCTCCACAGACACCATCTCATCACTTGTGGTTCCCATTCTGAATCAACCAAAGCAGTTTCTGTATCTTCATACGTTAGACTTCCACTTCAGGTATGGTTTCCTTTAATGGGCAGTGATGTATTTGACTAGAATCAAGGTTTGTTCTAGATAAACAAAACAAATCAAAAATGTAATTAATATCAATCAAGGGGGGCTAAAAGTTATCAATATAGTATCACTAGTTAACTTCTTTTTTAGGTAAAAGATAAAATAAAATTTAGACCAGGTGATAAATTAGTCATAAAAACCTAACTAATTTGCTAGCTGGCTAAGCTACTTGGCTACATTGCCAAGTTCTTGGTGAAAAAAGAACTTGTGATTAAAAGCAAAAGATGCTGCATATAGTGTGACATAAGAAAGAATCAATCTGTTTTACTGACTGAAATACTCCAATACTTCACTGCTCAATGGTAGTTTTTAAAGCCAATTAATCTACACAGCATGCTAATAATGCAAATTGAGGTATATTATGCAATACATTTGCATCTGTCATCCCAGTCATGGTTCTTTGCTTCTGATTTTATGCATTTACATTTCTATACCAAAGACTGTGTCTTTGAAATGTTGCCTCAAGGATAATTCAGTGTCTATTTAAAAAATGACCTTCGCCCTGTACTATATTTGGAAAAAATGGATTTCAGAATATTTATGATTTAAATATTCTCTATATAGCAGAGATTATAGAAAGATAAACTACACAGCATATACAAATAACATCTGTGCAAGTTCCATAAAGTGCAATACTATTTTAAGGCATTAAAGGAAAAAGCCCACTGTAACTCAATTAAATCGATAAGATGTGATATAAATAACAATTCCACCTCATATTATTCCACACTTTGATCTGTTCTTGCTTGCTCAAAACAGCAATTTGTGTGTGCGTGTATGTCTGTCTCCTCTCCAACCCTAAGACTCTCAGAACAGCCTCTCCAGTTTAGTGCAAGGCTAGCTAGGAATGCTCCCCTCCGGTTCCCCAGAAGCACCAGGGGTTAAAAATCAACTCCAGAGGCAGCAGCTGTCTGTATCTGCTCTTCTGTAAATCTTTATAGTCTCTAGTATGTGCTGAACATTGAACAAGGAGACAGGAGAGGTAGGAAAAGGATAGTTAAGAAAACCCATCATTAAAATTCAATGTACTCCAAGAAAGCCACATGCAGGAGGCTATTATGTGAATACAGAGAGGGATGAGGAGAACTGGCCTCTAACTCAAGTCTGGCTTTATAGCTGGAAATACTTTCAAAAGGGGAAAAACATGCACTGCTGAGTTGTGACAGGGTGTGTCGGTCAGACGGAAGCAGACAAGGGCCCCTGTGCGGAATTTCAGGGGCTTCAGAGCACCTGGCACACTCAGGGAGTATGCAGCAGGTCAAAATATCCGAGGCACAATGTGCTCAGGATACCGGAATCATCAAATCTGGGTTTCCCTGCCACAAGAATGGAGAGGGCAGGACACCATGTCAATGCTCCCAAAATCTGTTTCAATGAGAAAATTCTCCTCCCATCACACATACGTATTTATTATTTTATTTATTTGGAGTTTTTATTAGAAAAACAATATTAACATTTTAACAAAGTCAACAAGAAGTGCCATGAATTACGAGCAGGTGGGACAGGATTCAGATGGGATGGCTGACCTTCGATAAACTGTTTTTAAAAACTACTTAATAAAATAACAACAGTAGCAGCCTGTGATCTAAACTCCTATCAGGACCAACATTAAGAGAGCAAATGCTTCTTGTATTTTGTAACTCACGAGGCTTGTTCTTTACCCTCTGGGCATCATAACTTTTCAAACATCAGTGCAAAGTATGTGAGATTAAGAAGAGAAACAGCATTTATCCCACACAGACAGACTAGGTATTTTAATACAGAATGCCTACAGACTCTTATTCCCCACCCAATTAGCAAGAAAATTCACATATCCTTTGCTCTTCTTTCTTTGTGATAGTGTTTATTCTAATTTTTCTTTTCGTGAAGAAAATATACTGCAATTCTAGCCTCCCACATAATGACTAAGAAAGCATTTCTCTTAAGACTATTATGTTTTAGTTATTTTTTAAATCTCTAAATAACTTTTAGTTCTTTATTTTCATTTTATCACAAAATCTTTTCATGAGGAAAAATAACATGTTCCCATTTAAAATACCAAATAACAACTGCATTATCTTCCATCCCCGAAATACCTCTGTTACCATGAAACAAACATTAAGTGACAAATTATCATGTGTAGATCACTAGAACATGCACGTAGCATGTAAGTACGATTAAAGAACTGCAAGGCTGTATGGCATAAGTACTTACTTAAGAGCACATACTCTGGAGCCAGTCTGTGAGGGTTCAAGTCTTCACTCTGTCACTTACTAGCTTGACCTTACTACATATCTGTTTCCTTCTCATATGTAAAATGGAGGCTTTCATAGTGCCTATTTCAAAGGTTTGATATAAAGAATAAATGAATGTATAAAATAATAAATCAGTGTAAAAAATAGTGCCTGGCACATAAGAGGTGTTATATAAGTATTAGCTATTATTACCATTATTAAAGATAAAGAAACAAAAGTTCAGACAGATGTTACGATTTGTACAAAGCCAAACAACTTATAATTACTTGGTAAGAGATAAGGAAGATAAATCTAGTTCTTTCTTGCTTCAAAATAACTCAATAGTAAATTAAGTAATTATAAGAAAGAGGAGAGGTATTTCATGAAAGCCTTAGTTGTATGAATTTTGTAAGGACCAAAGGCAGCCTGATCCTGTCTTTCTAACCCCTAAACCCATCCCTCTACTCCCAACCCAGGCAGATGGTTTCATTCCTTCTTAGTGTGCAAGTCTAATTCAACATCTAATACTACTTCTCATACTAAACTGTGAGCTCCTTAAGAGCTGGACCCTCCCACAGAAGAGCAGCTCAGTAAATGCTGAATGACCACATAGGTGACAATTTACTTGTGCATTCTTACTACATTTAGGCAGTCAGAAGTACATCTATGTTTATAGGAGGATATGCCCAAGTTAATATATAATTTTGATTTCAGATGTTCTATGAGCAGAATCTGAAATATTAAAATACAAGTTAAATAAGCAAGTCTTAAATATTTCTCATAAAGGTAAAATGTAGTATAATGTGTATCTTTACAAACTACATTGTCTGTTTAGATAATATTCCATGAATAGTAGAGATGGAAGTTCTTAAATTGTCTGAGAATATTACAACACATTTTATTATTTTTTATTTTTTAAAGATTTTATTTATTCACTTGAGAGAGAGAGAGAGAAAGAGAGAGCAAGCTAGCAAGCTAGCAAGCAAGCAAGCACGCACAATCAGGGGGAGAGGCAGAGGGAGAGGGAGAAGCAGACTCCCCGCTAACAGGGAGCCCACCACAGGGCTGGATCCCAGGACCCAGAGATATTACCTGAACTGAGGGCAGATGCTTAACCATCTGAGCCACCCAGGTGCCCCTTTCAACACGTTTTAAATAATATCTTGAAAAATAGCCGGTACAATGGAAAGGGAGTAAGAAGACATTGTTTTCTACCTAACTCTAGTTACGAATAACAGGTTTGCTCTTCCTGGTTTATGAGATAAGAATACCCTGTGCATCATAGAGACTCTCAGGAAGAGCTATGGTTTTTCACAGTTAGTTTGCAAATTCCAAAACTATATATTATTCAGATCATTTCTCTTTTTTTTTTTTTTTTAAGATTTATTTATTTGAGAGAGAGTGCACAAGAGAGAAGGGGGAGAGGGAGAGAGAGAATCTTATACAGACTCCCTGCTGAGCGTGGAGCCCGACTAAGGGCTCAATCTCACCACTGTGAGATCATGACCTGAGCCAAAATCAAGTTGATCGCTTAACCAACTGTGCCACCCAGGTGCCCCTCTTCAGGTTATTTTTAATTCAGATTGAAGGTGTCCTCACAGTCCCTAACCCTGGAGATCCAGCCCAGAAAAAAGGCCATGAGCTAAAGATTCCCACCAAAGTATGGTTAGATGGGAAACCCCTAGGGTTCCTTTGACTCATAAACATCAAGAGTCTCAGGCTACTCTCTCAAGTGTCCTCCTGGCAAATTCCTACTCAAACTCTACTTGCTCTGTAGAACCCATCAGCCTCCCTCCTACTCTTGGGTACATTTCCCCTCCCTTATGCTCTTGCTGCTCTTTACACATACCTTCATTTCAGCAATTACTACATTTGCCTACTTGCTTATCTGTCTTCTCAGCTCTTTGAAGGTAAAGATAGCATCTTCTTTATCTTTTGTATTCCCCATTCTTGGCACATATTATGCACTAAAAATTTTTTTGTTCTCAGGCTCATACTTGAGCCTGAAATGTTTAAGAGTCCTGAAATGTATAATATCACTATATAAACATATAGGAGAAAACCTTGCAATTTATGGCACTGCAAAGCAGTCGATATATTGGACCTTGCTCTATGATAACAAAGAATGAGACGTAACTTCCTTTAGTCTTCAAAAGTCTGAGAATTTTAAAGTTATTTTTTTACTTGATATCAATACAAGAAAACTCTTATTGTATATGTTACACATCAGCTTTGATAGTACCTTTGTATAAAGCAATGGATGTCAAACTTTTACACCTAAGGATCCCTTTATCCACTCTGGACAAGTTTGGCAGTTCCTTAAAAAACTAGCATGCAACTACCATACAGTTCAGCTACTGCACTCCTGGATATTTATTCCAAAGAAGTGAAAGTCACGCATAAACCTACAGCTTTATTTGCAATGGCCCCAAACTAGAAACAACCCAGACGACCTTCAGTGGGTGAGTGGGTAAACAAATCATGGTACATCTGTATTGCAGAATAGTACTCAGCAATAAAAAAGAATGAATGATTATTGCTACACACAACCTGGATGAATCTCCAGAGAATTATGCTGAGTGAAAAAAGCCAATCCTAAAAGGCTGCATACTACACTATTCCATTTAGAGAACATTCTTGAAATGACAGTGGAATTAATTGTTTAAATATTCATTTGTTAATGAAACAATAAACCCATTACATGCCAGGATTTTTACGAAAAATAACATTTCTTTTTCCAAAATAAAAATACAGTGAGAAGAGAGGCCATTGTTTTACATCTT